GGACACTCTCAGGATCACCCAGACCAAAGAACTTCAAGAAGGTTCATTTCATCAAGAACATGCGGCAGCACGATACCAGAAACGGCAGGTACTGTGCATCCAGAGGCTGCTTCTGCACAGGCGATGCGTGGGGCATGAGGGGAAGGGCAGGGTCGGGCATCCCCCTGCAAGAACACAGCGTGCCATTGCCACTCACCACACATAGATAGTCATGGCCTTAAAAACAGTCCCTGGAGGTGCAGGCTGCAGTTCACGCTCTTTCCTCCAGCAAAGAATGAGTCAATGGAAGTGCTAGCCCATAGATTTTTATTGTTTTAAGACCTGTGTCTCCTTAATACAAACAACCTGTGTGAAAGGAAAATCCATGGTGCTGTTGGAGTAAATCTAGGTGTAATCTGGTTGTGTGGCTTCCAGGGTAGTGCCAGGCGCTATGTGTGAAGGGGGCAGGTGGCAGAACCTGCCTGCAACGAGTTCCGTGGCGGCTGAATGCTGTTTCAGCATCTCTTAGTGGGTACGAAGTGCTGGCTGGTAAAGGCCCAGCTGGGGATGGCTGTGGCAAGGTGAGGAGTGGGATCCTTGGTTTTGGGGCAGAGGGGCTCCTGGGGTGTGTGTGTGAGGGGTGCACACCCCAAGCTGGGATGTGCACTGCCCAAATGGCAGCCACAGGCACCGGTGGGACCTGCACAGCGGTGGTTGGACAGGACATCGCTCACTGCAAAGGCACAGTGCCTGTCATCGTGTTCCCATCAGCAGAATAGGTTCCTTATTGCAGTATCATCCAGCTCAGAAGTGAAACTAGCTCCTCCCTGCTTATGAAGAAGACACCTACCCTCTCTGTTTTTTTTTTTCCCCAAGACAATTTTCCCACGTGCCTCATGATTTTATTTCCAAACCTGAATAGATTTGAGAGAGATGCAACCTGTTTAGGTAGCCTAGATTAAACCCCCCCACTGGGAGTCAACCCTTGCACTTACCCTTGCACTTACCCTTGCACATCCCTCTTCTCATACAACTGCCACGTAGGTTCCTGTGGACCCGTTTGTGCCATGTAGCCTGTGGCTTCCATCAAACGTGGAACCAGGTCAATAGAAATTCTGACATTACATTGAACCACGGGTTTTATGACTTGAATTCTGGTAGGTGTTCCTTGGCTCAAGCTAAATTTTCCTCGCGTTTATCCTCACACGTACAATTAAATGCAGTGAAAGGTAGTAATCAACATAAATATTGCAGAAGGTGGCTCTGAGAGACGACAGCTTTTTAGAAACAGCTTTTGTAGCAAACAGGAGCATGCAGAACTGTTGACGACTATTGTCTGACTAGCAGCTGATTATTGTCTTTACAACAAATACATGTAGAATCAAACACTGAAAAGCAGCCCTCTAATTTTAGTCTGTTTTGTGCATAAATAGATGTACGCTCTGGGAATTTCTTACAGCAAAAAAATACTTATTCATAAGGTATTATGCAAATTCCACAGAGTAATTTCTGAGATGTGTATATAAAATACATTAATAAACTTGAAAGAAATTCTAACTGCGAAAAAAAGTGAATAATTACTTGATTTGTAAACTCTTTTCTCTGTCTTTTGCAAAAAAAAAGTGTTTGTAGGATATATGCAACATTTTGTCTTGATTCATAGATCAGTCATTATGTCTGATAATATAACTGAATATTTTTCTGGCTAAGAAAACAGTGAGTAAGCTTCTGTTATTCAACTGCCCTATTATCTTTATCAGCAGGCACGGTTTTCCAGAATATTTCCATAATCATAATAAAAGTCTCTTTATCTAGAATGTAGAGACAATAAGATGCACAGTTTTGGAAATGCTTTACATCCTATGGACAACGAGCCACAGCGATATTAGCTAAAAATAAAATGCAAAGTCAACAGTTTGTGTGGCCCCTAAGGCCAGCTAAGTCTAGCAGTAAGTAATCTGAGCACATACCCTGGTTTTCTGAGGGGTCTGGGTGCTGTTGCAGTTACTGAAGTTAATAGGCGTTCTGGATGAAAAGGACCTCAAGAAAGTCAGGTGGATCTGCTCTGTGTGTTCATCCTAAAATGACAGAGTTTCTGAGTACCTTAAGGCCTTTAAAGCAGGTGTCCTCCCTGGTGTTCCCTGTGACAGAGAGGAGCACAGATATTGCAATGGATAGAAAACCATCTGGGGACTCCTTCCCGTGCCTGGGACGTCATCCCAGGCAGCTCATGAGTGGTTGTGCAGGACACAGCCACGGAGTCGGGCTCTCTGAGCTCTCTCTGAAGTCACTGACCCTTCTATCACAGCACGTCACTTAACTTGAGGAACCCAGCTTTGAAAACTTCTACACAGATCATATTTTTGAGTGGTGAATTAATAGCTGGCCTTTATAATAGGTAGCACTTTTCAGTCATTGTGTCACTGGCCTGTGACTGTGAGCGTCACAGCAAAGAAGACTGCAGTGTGGGTGATATCTCAGGGCTCCTTTCTCTGGGAACACCCCTTACTTGTGGTGCTCAGCCTGTGGAGTGAGGTGTCCTTGTCCTGTGGGGCTGAGAGCTCTTCCCCTCTTAGCCCCGGGGATGGCACACGCTGAGCGATGATGCTCGGGGTCCAGCCTTTGGCAGCGCAGCAGCAAGGCAGGACCAGCTGTGGTTAAAATAAGAGTTCAGCTATTTCAGCGCAGAGGAAAACCAGACCCCAGCTTATCAGCCAGGCCTTGTAAAGCTTCCTGTTGATGGTTCTGTGCGCTGGTTAAACCGGTTTCTTTGGATTTGTAGGACGTGGGTTATTAAAGGAGCTGGAAAATTAGGTTTCCTAGACTTTGTTATCAAAGCAGTCTTTTAAAAAAGCACAGAACAAATTTCCCCATTAAAAGACAAAGACAAGTCAACCCTAACATACAAATTAGCACAGGTTGCCACCAGCATGTGGTTTCACCCACTTTACTCAGCAGGTTTATTGGTTCCATAAGCTGTGAAGCATACTATTACCTATCTAGCAGAAACAGGCCACTGAAACAGCACCTGAGCCAGCTGAACATACAATTTGCGGTGAGAATGGGACAAGAGCATTTCTAGAGTCACCCTATATAGCAGATACAAAAGCAGTAAAACAATGCTTCTCTCCCACCCCCTTCCTATCGCTTTCTCAATTTTTTTGTTAGCAAACAGATCTAAGCCAAGGCTAAACACCACCCATAGGCCATGACAGGTCTCTTTTGCTGCTCTTTTAATTGTGGAAATGCACATTCCTGCAGTCCAAGAGGCTGGCTATTTGCAGTGGACTCCCAGCTCATAACCACCTTCCAGTAGCCCCAGCTTGAACCTGGGAGACTCCAAAGTGATGGCTGCTACCCAGACAACATCCATGGTTTGTGTGTTCACTGTTGTGTTCAGGACAACAAAGTAGTCAAACATCATCAATCAGGTATGAGAGAAGAGGCTACAGTATTCCACGTGTATATGGTACATATGATGTATATCACATTGCCTGATCGCAGCCTTTTGGTGCAACACAATCAAACCTGGACAGACACAAAGAGAAACAGACATTCTTCTTCATGTCAAGCAAATTCTGTTGAGAGACTTGTGCTTAGTGAGTTTTTGTAGTTTCAGAGTGTACGCCTCATTAAAGAAATTGGAAGATTAGCTTTTACAGTCTCAGACAGTTGCACATTGTCAGAGCTCTCTTGCCAGGTAATGGTTGCTCTGAACCATAGTAATTAGTACAACTTCTTGGTGAAATGTGAGAATTAGAGAGTGAAAACCTTTTCATGAAGTAATTTTAGATGTGTCTAGGTGGCCCAGTGGCAGCCAGGGCACGTAAACCCACTCTGACTCAAGTTGCTTCTGATGTTGGAGTTAGCTCATTCAGAGCTGCACAGGATCATAGACACCCTTTGTTGAAGAGTTGAAATCCAGGAAAATGCTTTTCTCCCATAAACGGTAATTCAATTTTCTTGAACAGCAATGGGCTTCCATCACACCTTCTTCTCCAAACCATATTTTGTGAGAAGTTTCTGGACTTTCTGCTCCAGCAAACCATTGCAGACCCTCAGAATATTTTTGTTTTCCATGCATATCATCAGACTTCTAAATAAAATGCTGTTTCATCCCTCCCTGATGAGCTTCTGGCCACTGCCTTCCCTACTTCTCTTCCAGTCCAGCTCCTAAGGCCATTTTGCAGCAGCCTCCTCCAGCAGCTTTGTAGATGAGGGTTTGTGGCATCCTGGCAGTGGAGGCCGTGGGCTGTTCTCCTGCTCCGCCTGGGAGTTCTTTATGTAAAGATGGTCCCTTTGTTTATGGAAAGAGAGGCAATATTTGGGTCCCAAAGGAAAGAAATCTAAAAAAAACCAAAACCGACAGAGACTGGGCTGGTGCTTTTTATTTCCTTTCTGGTCTGATTCCTACTGATACACATAGCAAGATTTCTGTGGTAACTTCCCACTGTTGTCTTGGCTTGTGAACGTGGAAGCACCAGTTTGTTTTTCTTTACATATTAAGAATTGTTTGGGGTTTTTTTTAGGGAGGTGTAGGGCGTTGATGGAAGAGTTGTGTTTCCAGAAGCAACCAGAGGGAGTGGGGGGGCATATGCTTAGTGGGTACCGTGGTTTTCCGAATTCAAAGATGCTTTCTGATGTCAGCCTCGAAATCTCTGCCAAATTTCATACATCAGCAAACAAGGCTTCCAGTGAACAAGCAAGCTGTTGTGAGTAGCAACCATTCAGCAATAAGCAGTGGCAAGCACAAAATTAATCATATGCCAGGGTTTTTTTTTGCTTGTGGATTGCTTTTCTCAAATGTGAGAAATGATTCCCCCACGCTCTATAACTTACTGCTGCACTGTGAGACCATCTTATAGGACCCGAGATATTTACCGTAGGTAAAGGGTACAATAGCATTCAGACAATGAAATCATACTTTACCTGCTGCAGGAGAGCTTCCTAATGCATGTTTATTATTAGAAACCCCCCTTTATTAAAGGGTAAATACCACTTGGCTTTTAAACATGCTTTTAAGGAAGAAAATAGGATTGCTATAACAGAATGATCCAGGAGAAGGAAAACTGATTATTCTGCATTTTTCCAAACATTGCATGCTGCAGCTCTCTTGGGGATCTAAACCTTTTCCAAGGATGATGACTAAGCTAGTCTATTAAGGAAATGGTGTTTTAATAACAGTGTTAGTGGTACAAGATTTATAGGTGCATATGGTGGTTTTCAGACAGTAAAGAGTAAAATAGCTTGCTAGGGTTTATTTGACCAGTGCAGGCCAAAAGATGAAAAATTTGGGTGAAATCCTCACACGTAGATTTGTGGCACAAAACATCAGAAAAATCAGTGTTGGAGAGCAGGCCAAGGAGTTGCAATAGTCCTGACAACCACCCTAGCAGTAGGCCTTGCCTTTGGACCACAACTGGAGATCTTTAGAAAGGTAAAAGATCAGTAAATTTTAACACTAATCAGATTAGAAGATGGCAAAAATTGTCATTGTTGTATCTTGGAGGAATTTGAGCCCGTTGACTAACTTCAGAGGGAAGAAGAGTCTTTGTAGTTTTTTTTTTTTTACTTTTTTACATTTACATCTTTACATTAATACAATTGTCAATGTCCTGAAGGTAATAAGGAAAGAGGGTGTATTTATAAACAGTTATTTATTGGCATTTTATAGCTTACATCTTGATCAAGCTTCTCTTGGCTTCTTGCCAATCTGCATCTCCCAAAACTATAATAATGGAGCTATTGGCAGTCCCTGCAGTTATATGGAAAGCGTGTCTTGACCTCAAGATGGTTTTGATGTTATGTCAGAGCTTGATGGCTAAAGGTAATAGTGTGGCTGTAAAACAGATAGGTTGCTCTAAAGTATTTGATTTAATGCCACACAGTGACTTTGCAGATGATGCGGAGATTTGGAGGCTGGTTAAAAATACAAGGCGTTTGCTGTGAGAGGGGCCTGGATTCTGAGATAAGCTCTGTGCAGGCAGATGTTGTGTGCTTTCATGTAGCTAAATCTTGAGCTATCTGCCTATAAGGAATGAAGGCAAGCCATGCTTACAGGAGGGATTCAGCTCTGACAGTTAGTGACTGAGATAGACGTGGTGCTGGAGGAGAAAGGGTGAGGAGCTGTGGGACCAGTCGTGCCTGAGGGTCAACGCAACATCATAACCAAGGGGGCTGATGTGATTGCTGAGCACAGAGGCTGGTGGGTCATCAGGGCGAGACACTGATCTTAAAGGTAAAATGTAAAGATGTGATATGCATATCTGCCATCTGTGCAGCTGCCAGGGCCAGTGATGCTGCCCAGAGACCAAGAGGGGTGAAGGGGAAAAACTGGAGAAGACTCAAGGAGGAACCTGGAAAACAGTGGAAGGATCTGAAAGCTTATGATAATAGCAAACTTTGACTTCATCCATGAATCAGGCTATTTCAGGAACAGGAAGCTGGAAGTCAAAGGAGTCCTTTGGTTTGGCAGAGAAAGATCATGACCAGCAGCTGGAAATTCTTGTCCGATAAATGCAGACTCCAGGTCAGCCACAGAGTTGTGGTGTGCCTTACAGGTGGTTGTTGGTGTCTGTCACCTGGCTTGCTGCTGGATTTATCTCTGTAGTTTCACCCATAGTGGTGAGTTGCCAGAATGGCTCCTTGCCTCTCTGGGTGGACTCCTTTCACTAGGACTGCTTTCACTAGGAAAACATCTATCCTGGGTCACAAGTAATGTATTCAAGATAGTCTTCCTAGAAAGGCTGTAGAGGGGATGGGAATCCACTACTCATTGGCTTTGTAATGTATGGCACAGGCTTCAGCACTTCTGTAAAGACTCAGTAGCGCAATACCCTACCAGTAAGGGTATTTCTCCCTCCGCCAAAAGAGGAGGGAGAAATCATCCATGATGGAAGTTTTATGATTATGAGTTCCTCAATGGTAACATCTCTTGCTTTGCTTATTGTGGTGGGATTTTTAAATTTTGATTTCTTTTATTTTCTTTTGTATTTTAGAATAGTCCTTATCAGCAGCAGAAGATCCTTCTGTAGCATATTTTCAGTGCTGCCATATCGAGACTGTACCCAAGTCGGGTATGTATATTTATACGTGTACTACATAGTCTTTCTGGGCCTGCATGTAGACCTCATAATGGACAACAGCATGATGGAGGCTAATGCTTTTTACGTATCTGCTCTGAGAAGAAATAAATGCACTTAGATATATTTGCCTTGTGGAAAAGTACCAGGTTAAAGCTACAGCTCTCAGTCCCCAGTTTATTTATATGTGTTGTGGTATCCTTGATTATTAAACCGGAGAACTACCCTCTTGAAATCAATGTTCTTGAAAAATGCACTGTTTTTATTGTTTCTTCTGACTTCACTCATCTTTGACAAAGCAAATACTGTAGACAGTACAACTTTTATTTTATAAGTGGTTTTAGCTTTCTCGTTCTCCCACACAAACATGGCGCTGTATTTAGATTTCCAGAACTACAGAGAAATAGTTGGATTTAAACATAATACCTCTCATTGTATGTTTAGCCATTGGTCAGATCGTTCAGTCAGTGAAAACAGATTATTTTGGCCATAATACCATAGTGGTTCTTAGCTGCCGTAAGCAATGTCCGCGGAGCTGCCTTGCATCCCTCGATGTGCCGAGACAATAAACCTCTGATAGAAAAGTTTATTTAGATTGAAGCAGTTCACCAAAGACTGAGAAAGCTCTTGGCTCTTCCACCGAAACTGCAGAAGTGGAAGAAACTGGATTTGGCAAGGAGAGGTTTGCTGGCAGGCTCTGGGGCACGGCTTTGCTGGCTGCCTTCAGAGGGGCAGCAGAAGGCTGGGGAGGGCAGGGCTGGTCGGCAGAAGGACTAATGCGTGGCCACTGTGGCCACTCGCCAGAGGGCTGAGAGTTACCTGTAGCTGCGGTTGGCTCAGCACCGGCAGGGCACAAAATCTGCAGGAAATACTCAGCTGATACACTGAGGTGGGTTTAAAGACCCATAAATCCTCTAGAATCAGAATTACCCAGTGCGTAAAGCATGAGTTTGGCTCCTATTTTTCAGCCATCTTTCAGTTCTGGAGAATGATTTGCCACAAACTGCTTGTGCATCAGTAATTCCAAACAAAGGGAGTTCATTTTTAACGTAGGAAGGAAAGGAGGCACCTTTATAGGAGAGCTGACTTTATCTCCTGTCTTTTACAGTAATTTTTGTTCCTTAATTAAACTGGGATGACACATCAGGCAAATTCTTGACAGACTGGCAGTTTTGTTCGCTCTTCTTGCGTACACTGTCATTCATTGATGGTCATTCCCTGTGGAAATTGCCTCTTTATTCAAAACTGAATGTATTTTGAAATGCTGATGGCTGGTTATACCTTCTAAATTACAGCAGCAACAAGCCCAGCTGCAAACCTAAATATTATTTCAGCATGTAATGTCTTGTGCTTGCGCAGTGAGAAGGGAATGGGACGAGAAGGTAGCAAGTGCCAGTACAAAACAATCCAGCCCTGTTCCTTTTGCTAAAAAAGCGGAGAGTTTTAAAAAATGCCCTCTGTCTTCCCTCCAGAGCATCAGAGGAAGAGAGAAACAATTCAGTGGCACCTCCTTCCAGGAACAGCTGGTGCAAAGAACAGATGAGGCAGTATGGCATAAACTGTAGGCACTCTGTTCAGGCTGCACTGTGCTTGCTTACGCCGTTGCACATTTTGGATGTGTGGTAGGAGTGGGAAGAGATGTTGGTATCCTCCTGAAGTACTGTAGTGACAGCATCCTTTAGCTTTGCTTTCTCTGAATCTCTGGATTGCTGATGCCTGTCCCCGGTCAAAATGTCCTACCTGATTTACATTCCGCAAACATTACTGAATAGTTTAGGAAAATAAACAAGTTGTTGCAGGGAACCTTGGGCACATCTGAAATGTAGACTGGAGTACAGCCTGGAAGGAGCTGGGTGGACGTGGATGCAGAGGGGACTATTCCATGTGAGAGAAGCACGTGGTGGAGCTGCTGCTGCTGCTTCTCCACCTCTGCTCCGACTCACGGGCTCTGTGGCCAGTGGGGAAATCTCCAGGCACAGCTGTGTTTTGGGGAGGCTGCCAGCCCCCGGCACATTGTGGGCAGCACAGAAGAGCTCTACTGTATCGGTGCTGGCAGCTAAGCTGTGCTAGAAATGATCTGAAAGGCAGTTCCTGCAGACACAGCAAAACTCTGCGTGCTTGGCCGGGATGGATGGGGCAGCATCGCCCCTTACCAAGGAGGTGCAGGCAATGTACTCTAGGCTGTGGCCCTTGCTTGCCCACCCTCCATACTGAGGTCAAGCTACAATAGCAAGAACCCTCCTCAAGCCCCCAAACTGTGTTTTCAAGCAGTTGTACTAACAGAAATGGAGGTCTGGGGGGTGTGGGGAGGAGAGCCATGGAAGAACGTGAGAGGAGGAAGTTTGAGCTGTCCTTTGGAATGTGCTTCCCAAATCTCCCTTCCCAGCAGCCAGAGAGTAGCTGGCAGTGGGCTTTTGAAGGGAAACTTGTTCCAGAGTGGTGCAGAGGCTGCCAGGGATGAATGGTAGGTTTTTCTACCTGCAGTTGCTACCTCCCTTTCAGAAGGCCAATCTGGTGGTACTTGCTGGGGCTGAAAAGGAAGGACACCACCATGTGCCAGGGGAATTAATTTCTCTAGTTTTCCCTGTTACGCTGAAGAGAAGCAAAAACTACAAAGCAGAGGGACATGGTGGGAAGCAAAAAGTCATGAACAGAAGTAATCACTAGAATTTTCTGTTCTCAAAATTTTGTCTGTACCTTGTATCTGATGGAAACCTCATGGCTTAGCTTATAGTCCTTTTGTGCAAGGGAAGAGGAGAGAATTAAAACTAAATTGGCAAAGGTTTTGAGATGTGTTATCTTCTGCTGGAGTCACTGAGAGGCAGGTACTTTGTGGATCTGGGACATAAATTCTCCTTTCCAGCTCTGGCTACATCAAGATTGCTGGCATCTTTGCTGGTGATGTGAAGACAGGCACAGCTTCACCTGTTTCCATGGCCTAGAGTAGGGTAATGGGCAGGACCAGAGCTTGCTTTTTTCCCCCCATCTAGAGCAGCTGAGCAGCTGTGAGAGCGGACATAGCCAGGTAAAAGCCATGTAAGGATGGCTATACTGTGAGTCAGGAGCTGGAAGAGGCGATGACCATCTTGCCTGCAGGCTTCCCTTGGCCCCCAGCGTCCTGTGGTGTTACAGCCCCAAGTCATCAGACCCTGCGCAGGGTTTAGTGGTGGCTCAAGGCAGTGATGAGAGTATTGCCCTGTACTGAGAGCACTGTAACAGAATTACTGCCTCTGGTATTACGTTAACAGACACACACACAAACTCTCATCATCATCATCATCTCATCATCATTACAGGCTGACCTGCACCTACAGGCTCCAGCAACACTGATAATGTTGTGTGAATGCTTGGCTTTGATTATGTTTTTATGAAATATGAAGTCATTGTGTGATGCAAAGGTTAGAGGCCTGGCAATTCCAAGTGCTAGTAGTGGTGCTGTGGGATCGCTTGTGCAGCTGCTACTCTTTTTTTTTTTTTTTTTCCCCCAGTGAATTAGAAATCTTCATGGCTAAAGGGTATTCATGATCTGAGCGATCCACTTCTCATTATTATTATTAAGTGCCTAAGCATTTTCAAAATAGGCCATGGCAATGTATGTCTGTCACTGTCAGAGGTGTCATAAAGGAGGAAGAAGATACCGTATTGTCTTTCCCCCCAGGAAGAGAAGGTAGTACAGTCAGCTGGGTTTATTGTTGTGTTGTGTTTTGGGTTTGTTTTGGTTTTTTTTCCCCTTTGGCACACATCATTATGGTTCATAATATAAAACCATGTTTTTGAAAAGGTACTTTTTAAGCTCGTTTTCGTTAATGACAAAAACATTCACAGATAGAGATCATACCTCTTCTGATGATATTTCATTTTGTCATGTTGTAAGAACCTTTTAGGAGCTTCCAAGTTCCTGTGAAGTCCTGCTTAGAAGATGAATCTAGAGGACCCTGGGGAGGAGGAGAGCTGGCAGTGTCACGCAGATGTGCCACTGCAGCACAGCTAGTCTTAGATTTGACTCTCAGCTGCTGGGCTGGCAGTGACTGACTGCCACTGGGGCTGGAGGTGATGAGCTACAGGACAGACAGTCCAGATCATCAGATAGTGCATGTCCTTATAAAACTGGCCAGTTCACCTCATCTTCTATTCTTCATGGCATTGAATTAATTAAGTGGTTAGAAGCTTACCTGCAGCAGAAATAGCTGCTGCGTATTGCTGTCTTGACAAGAATATAGGTATTCATCTGACTAAACTTGCCTCCAGTTAAGGGAAATAACGCAATATAAATAATCAAATAGATTGAAGCCCATTCTGAAACAAAGCAGCAAGTCGTTAGATAAAATGAATTTGTGTCCTTCTTAGAAAAGCTGCAAACCAGCTTCATCCAGTTTCTAAGGATAAATCACTGCTGAATTTAACTTCCAATTTAACTAAACGCTGGCCAGAACACTAATAAGTTCAATGATGCTGAGAGCAAGAGGTTCTCAGTACCATCAACCCAAATAACCTGTAGCCACAACGATCAATGAGTCCATAGGCCCAGCATTCCCAACGGCCTTCCTTACCCAAAACTCTGGTATCTTTGTTCGTCTGCAGTGTTTCAACTGGGTAAGAAAGTTGTTTGTGAAACGAGGCAAAAAGAAGCATTTAGGTGAGATTGTCTTGCATGCTGCACCCCTACTTGGCAGGTCAGGTAACAAGCAATGCAGTGAGTGTGGAAAACAGGGGAATACTTACAGGAGATATGAGAGCATCTAAATTGCCCTAAGGACAGTAGTAATAAGCACACAGCAAAGCAGGATATGCTGTTATATTCTTCAGATTTGTTACCGAGTTCCTTGCTGTTCTTCCCCAACAGATTTTTGTATGCGAGGCAGTTTTGATTAAGTCATCAATCTTGAGTGCTTTTCCTGAGCATTTATCATTCCATAGGCCTGGGGAAGAATAACTATCTGTTTTTAACTGTTAATAGGGAAACTGAAGCATTCCTCCATTTCTTTACCATTGCCCATTTTCCATGCTTTTCCCAAATTGAACAGAAAACCAAAACCAAGTGCATATTAGCGTTATAGAAAGACACATAAATCTGGGGGGGGGGGGGG